AAAAAGGATCATGAAGAATCAGACACAGCTGAAAAATGACGAAACAATGCTCATGCCCACCAGATTAGCTAAGATATCAAAGATGGAAGATGACAAATGCTGGAAGGGATGTGGAAAAATGGTCATGGGGCAGCTAGGTGAAACAGTGGATAGAGCACCGGCCCTGGGTTCAGGAAGACCTGAGTTCAAATCTGGCCTCAGACACACAACACTTACTAGCTGTGTGACCCTGGGCAAGCCACTTAACCCCCATTGCCCAACAAAAAAAAAAAAAAAGGAAAAACAGGGTCACAAATGCATGGCTGGTGGGGCTGTGAACTGGGCCAGCCTTTTTGGAAAACAATTTGAAATTACACCCAAAAAACTATTAAACTATATATACCCTTTGACCCAGCAATACCACCACTCAATCCATACCCCAAAGAGGTCAAAGAAAGAAAAGGACCCACATGTACAAAGACATTTATAGCAGCTCTTTCTGTGGCAAAAAAGAACTAGAAAGTGAGGGGATGCCCATCAACTGGGGAATGGCTGAACAAGTGGTGGCATGTGAATGGGACGGAACACTACTGTGCTGTAAGAAATCCCCATGATGGGGATGGTTCCACAGAAACCTGGGAAGACCACTTGAACTGATGCAGAGCGAAGGGAGCAGAAGCTGGCCAGCGTACACTTAAACAGCATTTACAGACAAACGGAGGAGCTCTGGCATGACTGACCACGATTCCAGAGGACCCGTGATGAGACATACAGAATGCAGACTGAGACACATTTCTGTGGCTGTGGCCAATGTAGGGTTCTGCTTTGTTTGGCCGTACGTGTTTGTAACATTGATTGCGCTTTTCTAACACGCTTGATGGGGCTGAGGGGAGCAGAGATGGGAGGGAGGGAATTCAGATCTGAAAATGAAATAAAATTGAAAGAAAAAGCCACCGCCAAGAAAAGGCAAGAGGCAGGCAGGCGTGGAAGGCCTGTGGCGCAGCATGTGCACACACACGCACACATCATATACACATACACTCACACACTAGTGCATGCACACACCATATATACACCATAAACACATGTGCATGCATACAGACACCCCATACACAGACACACACACACACATACACACACACAGTCTCTGGGGCCAAGAGAGAACAGGTGTTTGTGCTGGGAACAAGCCCAGTTGGGTACTGCAGCTGTCCCCCCCGCTCTCAGTTCCCAACTCCCCAGTGGCAGAGCTCAAGGGTCATGGGGGAGGCTCAGCTCCTCAGCCGGGCTCAACCTCTGCGCCCACCCCCCCCAAGCTCGGTGCTTCACCACATCCCAGAATGTCACCACTTTCTTCAAACAGCCACCACATTCTGGCCACCCAAGTGGCTGCCCCCTATGTAGCCGTGGGGAGAGAAAGGATGTTTGGTGCTACAGGAAGGGGAAATGGGTGTAAAGGTGTCCTGGAGGGCAGGGGTGCGTGCAGGGAGAGGCTACATGGTGCTCATCATTGTCAGGATATTGAGGTTCTGTTCCACCTCTACAACTCATTTGCTGGGTATCTTAGGAAAGTAATTTCCCCTCTCTGGGCCTGTCCTCTCTAAGGACAATACTTTACTATAGGACAAGGAGGGCAGCAGCTTCAGTGTCTCCCTCACACATGGAGCTAGGCTGTGAGTGGGACAGCAGGAAGGTTCTGGAACTGCAGCCAGGGAACCTGGGTTCACATACCAGCTCTGCTGCTTTCTATAGACCTGTGGGACCTCAGGCAGGAATCAACAAACACGAAGCGCCTACTACGTGCCAGGCACTGTGCTGGATGCTTGGCCATTGACGCTGCCAAGCATGTCCCTCCACCTTCAGTTTTCTCATCTGCAAAATGGAGGGGTTGGCCTAGAGGGCCCTTATGGTCTGTGGTCCATAGTCTATAACCTGTGTGAGCCTGAGTCTTATTGTAGGGGGTGAGCTGGAGCACCTCCCATGCAGACTGTGCTGATTCCCCCCGGCAGTCTCAGAGTCACATGGGGCTCAGCAATGGAGCTGGCTGACTCAGGGGCCCCAAGAAGGGGTGATGCCACCCTCTAGACCTCTCTTCCTGCATCATGGCCAAGCCTCTGACTGCAGAAACAGAACGCTTGCTTGCTGGCCTCTGGGGCTTGAGGAGATCTCAAAGCCGCAGTCCCTCATTGGCTTTGTGCCTTTTCCCTAGAAAAGGTGACCAAGTGGAGATCCAAGATGGACACTGCCAGCCTTGAAAGCAACAAGTTGGGAACTGAGCCCTTCTAGGACAAGAGGAAGGCTGTAGGAAGCTGAGACCAGCCCTGCTTGGCCTGGCTTGCCAGAGACATGAACCTGGAGGGGTTTGTTAAGAAAAATGTATAATCAGCAGTCACACAAAACACTCCATGTTTGACTCGTTAGGTGCATAATGTAGTTCTAAGGTTTAAGGCTTTTTTAATATGCTCTCATGAGTCTTATGTAGAGGAAATAAATAGCTGTCCTATACCTGGTCTATACCATACACTAAATACTTTTCCCTACCCTCTTCTGGGAACATTCTAGACATGAGGCAAACCTAGGTTAAGTGATTCTCCCCAAAGCTCTTGGGTGGGGTGCAAAGAGCTAGAGAGTTTGAGACTGGAGCTGGACCTCTCAGCTCAGTCTAAAGCTGAGAGGAGCCCCCTTAGAGAGGAAGAAGGCAAGGGCTGTAGCCCTCCTGGCCTCACTGCTGTCATCCCCAAGAAGCTGACCAGGAATCAAGGAACTGGGATGACAGGCCTAAGTCCTAAGGAGAAAGGAGACCTCAGCTCACCTGGGCTCTGGCCAACAGGACCCAAGCTGCCATCCCATCCTTCTCTGGTAAAGGGCAAGACTCAGGGACAGCCAATCTGAGGGACGAGAGAGGAACTGTGAAGTCAGCTACACCTGGCTAAAAAATGTCCTAAGATGGGCGCCCCTAGACGTGCCCTTCCCATTCCCCACACAGACATGAGGAGGAGCTCCTAGGGTCAGAGAGCCCTTGGGAGAGCTTGGGGATGGTAAGAAAGGTCAGCATCACTTCCAAAAATCAGTCATATAAGCCAAGGGAAGGAGGAGGGGTGCAGAGAGAGGGCAAGAGTGAGCCCTGTACACAGCTTTGGGGATACCCACATCTCAGAGCTAGAAGGAAGGTTAAGAGCCATGAAGGACACAGGGATGGAATAGTCCAAGGGGGAGGAGGACCAGGACACAAAGCTCCCTTTTCTGTGTTATCTTCCCCCTTCAAATATAAGCTCTTTGAGGGCAGGGACTGATGAATTTGTTTGTATTTGTCTTTCTTAACACTTAACTGTCAGGCCCAAGTTTCTAGGTCGATTGATTGTTGATGTGGATTCCTAGATGGTCTAATTCTTCTAAGAAGCCTCCTCTCTATCTAAGCAATGGGGCCCCTCATCCTCAAAGCACCCTTCCCTCACAAAATCAAGTAAACCTAATGGTGTAATCATGATTGACAGAAGCTCATTTTTCATTTCTGAAGTCTGAATGGGCCAGGGGGAGCTTTCCCTCACACTGGCTTTTAGTTCTGCCATCTTCATTCAGCATCCCGTCATAAAGCTGCCTTTGGTTTCTGAAGTTTTCCCATTCCTAAATCTCTATGATGCAGTCAAATTCCACCAAATTCATACTCCAGATTGCTCAGCCATTCTCCCAACACTGGACTGGCTTCTCCAGCAATGTTAATGTGAATCTCTTTGTACCTACTCTGTACATACAGAGTCTGGGTCTTTACTCACTGAGATTCACCCCTTTTGGGATGTAAGAACATGAGCAATGACTGTGGGTCAAAGGATATGACAACTGCTAACTCTTCTCCCCTCACTCCAAACATTATTCCCCATTTGACTGCACTCCTGGACATCACAATCTTTGGAAACTCCTAGCCTTGCAAGATGAAATCAATTTGGAATCTCGCCCCTCCTCAGCTGCCCTTGAGAACCCTCCGTCCCTCTGACTGGAGAAGGTGTAGGTGGGCATTGGAGAGACCTCCCTCCCCAATCCTCTACCACCAGTGAGGACACTCGGAAATTCCCCTCATCATTTTCCACGTGGCTGCTTTCCAGGAACTCATCATTCTGCAAGGTGACATCAACTTTGTAACTCCCTCCTTTGCGCATCGCCCACCCTGGCTGCGGACGCCCCCATCAGGCCCCAGGGCCAGGCCCTGCCCCCCACAGGCCCCAGCCCCCCACAATTTGCAGCTTCTGTTTGTGTTTTCCTCTCCATTAGACTGAAAGCTCCTTGAGGACGGGGCCTGTCTTTCGCGCAGTGCCCAGGAGGTATCTAATACATGTTCAGTGACTCTGACGGCTCTCCAAAAACGTGGACCAGTGCATAGCCCCTTGAACAGTGACTCAGTAAGCCTATCTTCCTACAGCCCTCCCACCCTGAATCTTCTCATCTTTGCTAATCGGTGTGTGTGGCGAGACCTAGGAGTTATTTTAATATGTATTTCTCTGATGAAAATTTTTTCAAAATTAAGAGTCAGCATTTACATAGCACTTTAAGGTTTGCAATCCCATTTGATCTTTCACAACATCCCTGAAAGGCAGGTGCTACTATTATCATCCCCATTTTTACAGATGAGGAAACTGAGGCAGAAAGATGAAGTGGATTGTCTGGGTCCCTCAGCCACACAGTGCCTGAGGCCGGATTTGAACTCGGGTCCTCCCGACTCCACGGCTGGTGCTCGCTCCACTGCAGCGCCACCTAGCTGCCCCTTGGATATCACTCAATTCTTCCTCCCCCTTTTATCCCATTAAGATAATTCTGGCTGATCAGAACTAAAAGCTCTCACTTGATCTGACCACCTCCATTTGCTATAGAAGGTGGCGCAGTACACAGAGTGCTGGGCCTAGAGTCAGGAGACCCGAGTTCAAATACAGCCTCAGACATTTACTAGCCCTGTGACCCTGGGAAAATCACTTGGCCTCTGTTTGACAGTTTCCTCAACTATAAAATGGGGATCATAGTAGTACCTACCTCCCAGAGTTGCTGTAAGGATCCGATGAGATGATATTTGTAAAGTGCTAGTAGGTGCTCAGTAAACACTTATTCCCCTCCCTTCATGGCCAAAGTCCCGAGCGGGCCACCTACAGTCAGCATCTTCCCTTCTCTCTGCTCACTCTCTTCATTCTACAGTCTGGCCTCCAACCGCATCCCTCTCCAGTTACCAGCCACCTCTTTAACTACCAAATCTAACAGTGTTTCCTCAATCCTCATCTGTCCTGAACTCTCTGTGACGTCTGACGCTCACCAACTTTCCCGCTGGGATGCCACCTCTTCCGGGCTCCATGACACTACTACCTCCCGGTCCTTGTCCTGGCTGAGGAATCCTCAGCCTTCTCTGTGGCCTCCATGTCACACCTACTCACCCAAGGCTCCGTACTGCACAGTCTTCTCACTCTGCGTGATCGTATCTGGCGAGCTCCTCCGCTACAGTCTCTGTGCAGACAACACCCAGATCTCCGCACCCCGCCCTAGTCTCTTTCCTGAGCTTCGGTCACACCCTGACCTGGGTGTGCCAGAGGCATCTCAAGCTCAACATGTCCACAACAGATCCCCAAACCCTTCCCGGGTCCCCCAGCATTGCAACCACTTTGTCATGTTCACTCTCACTCACCCTATGGATCCAATCTGTTGCCCAACCTTGTTTTTACCTTCATAGTATTTCTCATATCTATCACCTGTCCTCACACACCGTCAAGCCTTAGTTCAGCTCTCATCCCTCCCTTGGACTACTGCAATAGCCTTTTGATTGGTATCCTCCCCACTCCAATCTATTCTCCTCTCAGCCTTCATAAAGTCAGTCTGACCATGTCACTCCCCTGCTCATAATCTCCATTGGCTCCCTATTACCTCCAGGATAAAATACAGCATCTTGTTTGGCATCTGAAGCTCTTCAGAGCCTGGTTCTTCCTGCCTTCCCATGTTTCTTCCCTTACATCTCTCCACACACGCTCCATTCCAGCTAAGTGGGCACCTTGCTGTTCCTCAAACAGGACACTCCAGGACTTTGCATTAGCTGCTTTTTGTGCCTGGAATACTGTGCCTTCTCATTGCTGCCTCTTGGCTTTTCTGGCTTCCTTCAAGATTCAGCTCGAATGCCACCTCACAGGGAGCCTCTGGCTGGGTGCCTTCCCCTCTGAGATGAATTTCCAGTGGCTCGGTGTCTGTCTTCTATGTCCCTAGCTATTTGCATGTTGTTTCCTCCATCAGAAGGAAAGCTCCCTGGGGATAGGGATTACTTTTCCCTGCTCATGTTTGACTTTCTCAGAAAGAATAAATGGAAGTCACTGAGTGCTCAACTCTGTGGGACAAGTTATTCTTGCATAGAAACCATTTTTATTTGCTTGTCAGTATATGGAATTTTTTCTTACTTTTTCTTCCATCATCAATGAGTAGTCTTCAAGGCACCAGACACAGGGTTCCCTGATAAGTGAACCTCCTGCAGTTTGCAAGATTCTTCAACTCTGAAGCACTAGACGTCCTTGACTATATTTCTTGATAAGTTAAAGTGGTGGCAGGAATGGGGGAAGATTCTTCTTTGACAAATTCCTGTGGACTCTTAATTCCAACATTTCCAGGCAATTGTTTTGTATGATTTCAAGAAATATGGTATTCAGGGTCTTTGTTTCTGGGGGTAGGGGGCAACCGTTTTCAGACTGGCTCACTAAGCTCCTCTCTAAGCTCATCTGCCGTATTCTACAGAGTTCTCAACTGTTCTTCTGATTTTGCTCTTTTACCTTTGTTCCAATATTTCTTGCTACATCTTAGCATTTTTGTGATCTGTTTCTGCTGTTCTCTTTTCATGGTATCCAGTCCTCTATTAACACCTTCTACCTTTTATTCTACACAGTCAGTTCTGTTTATCTTTTGAAATTCTTTTTTGAGTTCCAAATTTTCTCCTCACATCTTTTACTTTGATAAGATTCTCACCCTCTCTGGTGGTTCTAGTCTCATTTCTCAAGGCTAGATATTGCAGAGTAGTATCGTTCCTTTCTTCTGGGGATTTTTCATTGCTTTCTTTTCTCTCATGGTAGAGGATTTCTTTTTATTCACTCATTAGTTTGACCTCTCTGCTGACTTTTCTGCAAAGTTTTCTCAGTAATAATCTCTTTCCTCACTTCTCTTTATTGCATTAAAAAATATTTTTTGCTAAATTTCTTACTGTTTTGAGGTGGCAATGTGGAGTTAGGTATAGATAGAGTCACTTTATTCTTTCCCACATTTTTTACATTTGTAGCAATTCCCTCCAGGATGACTCCATGGGTGGTAAAGTCAGCTAGATCTTTGCCTGGAGGCTTTCCCAAATTTTCTGCCCTCTTAGGGTTATTGCCCAGGATGAACTGCATGATGTGCAATTAAACCTCACCATCATACTGAAGGCTATTCATTACATTTCCCTAGTGGATGAATGATTTGATGGAGTGAGAGTCTTCCTCTGACTAAAGGCCTTTCAACATTCATGGAATTCAGTTTCCCTCCAATATGAATTCTCTGATATAGACTAAAGTTTGAACTTTATATGAAGGGCTTTATACACTTCTCACTTACATAGGGGTATTTCTCCTCTAAAAATTCTTTCCTGAATAAGGGATGACTTGTGGCTGAAGGCTTTCATCTTTCATTTTTTAAGATTTCTCTTCAGTGTGGATTTGCTGGTGTTGAACAAGAGCTGAGCTCCAATGGAAAGTTGTCCCACATTTTTTATATTCATAGGGTTTCTCTCTACTATGAATTCTTTTATGTTTAATAAGGGCTGAGCTCTGGCTGAAGGCCTTCCCACACTGCTTGCATACATAAGGTTTCTCACCAGTATGAATTCTATAATGTTGAATAAGGGCTGAGCTCCAACTAAAAGATGTACCACATTCCTTACATTCATAGGGTTTCTCTCCACTGTGAATCCTTTCATGTTTAATAAGGGCTGAGCTCTGGCTGAAGGCCTTCCCACATTCCTTACATTCATAGGGTTTTTCTCCAGTATGAATTCTATGATGTTTAGTAAGGAGTGAACTAAAGCTGAAGGCCTTCCCACATTCCTTACATTTGTAAGGTTTTTCTCCAGTGTGAATTCTTTGATGATTAGTAAGGGCTGAGCTCCAGCTGAAGGCCTTCCCACAGTCTTTACATTTGTAAGGTTTCTCACCACTGTGAAGTCTTTGATGTTGAGTAAGGGCTGAGCTCCTGCTAAAAGCCTTTCCACATTCCTTACATTCATAAGGTTTCTCTCCGGTGTGAATTCTCTGGTGTTGAATAAGATGTGAGCTCCTGCTGAAGGCCTTCCCACATTCTTTACAATGATAAGGTTTCTCTCCAGTGTGAATTCTTTGATGTCTAACAAGATGTGAGTTCTGGCTAAAGGCTGTTCCACATTCATTGCATTTATAAGACTTCTCTCCACTATGAATTCTCTGGTGCTGAATAAGGTGTGAACTTCGTTTGAAACTCTTCCCACATTCCTTACACTCATAAAGTTTCTCTCCAGTGTGAATCCTCTGGTGTTGAGTGAGATTGGAGGCCTTTTCACATTGCTGCTCAAAATCATAAGGTTTCTCTCCCCTCTTGAGTCCCTGGTGTTGAATGAGGGCTATGTGGTAATGAGAGAGATTCTCATATACATTATAATTCCATGGTCTTGTGGGCCAGCAGATACTGTGACTAAAGCTTTTCTCAAGATCAATACAGGCATGGACTCCTTGCTGATTATGGATTCCCCCGGGGAGAAAAGACAATGGCGCCAAGCCTCTTTCCTGTAACATGAATTTCCCTGGAGGGTCCCCTGTAAGGCCTGCCATGTGCTTCCACACACTGAGGGCTTGGATAGGAAGCTCCCCTAGCAGGTGGTCCTTGGGAACACTCCCCCTGAATCTCTTCACTAAGGTTCTGCGTGATCCTCCTCCTCCTTTCTTTTGACATGACTCCTCATTCTCAAGTTTAATATTCCAGGCTGAAAAAAATAATGAAAACAAATTGAACCCAAGTTGTAAGGAACCTCTAGTAAAGGCTAGGCCAATGGGTCAGACTCAAATGGAAACAGATCCCTGCAGGCCACATATTGACTTGGAAAACCACAAATGAGCATTATCTCTATTGTGCTGTATTTGTATTTATTTTGTTACACCTTTCACAATTACATTTTAATCTAGTTCAGGATGCAGGGGTGGGGGAGATTTTGTTCTGCAAATTTGACCCATCTGGACTAGGTCATCCTTCACCCAGATCATAAATCCTACTAGTCTACTGAAAACTGGCAGCCAGGAAGGATAGACAATCCTAGGATACATTAAGAGGGATGCCGCTGAGCCCTAGAAAGGGGAGAGACTCAAGGTCCTGGGTTCCACCACATCTGAAGCAAGTACTGGGCAGAAATGACACACTGAAAGATGGCAGAGTGAAAAGGTAGTAGCTCTCACCCTCCCCTATCAATCTCTGAAAACCTGGAAAATATCACCCCAGAAAAAAAAAAACCCTGGAACAGCTGAACTAGAAGAAAGACAGGGAACACCAGTGCAGCAGCCCAGCAAATGGGTCTCCTGGTGCCTCAGCAAAAATAAGGGAAGCAGCACTACAAAGGGCCCCAGGCCAATAAGCACCCTGCAGCATTCATCTGAAAGGAGCTAAAGAAAGCAACCTAGGGTCTTCCTAAAGTCCCAGCCTTGCTGATTCCAACCCGATACCAGGTAAGCTGTCAGAACCCTACAGCCTCCAATTGTCAACCAGGAAGAGATCCTGAAGCCCAGGTGGTAGAGCAGGCAAATACCAACACCTGGACCTCTGAGTGACTCAGTGGGGGGGGGGGACCAGTGGAAACCAGCTCAGAAAACCACCAGGTGCCTTGGCACTCTACCACAAAAGAATCTCCCAGCACATTAGCAGAAATGAGGGAGGCAGCATTGCAAGGGGCCCCAGGCAGATAAACACCCTGCAGCACCCATCTAAAAGGAGCTGAAGAAAGCTAAAGGAAAGGAAAAGCAGGCAACCTAGAATTGCCTGAAAGTTCCAGCCTTGCTGATGCCAGCCCAACACAAAGTAAGCTGCCAGAAACCTATAGCCTGCAATTGCCAACTTAACAGGCCCCAACACACAAAGCCAGTGACCAAGACCTAGGCTCCCAACACAAGAAGCTTGGGTCAGTGCCCTCTGTTCCCTAGCAGGAGAGCTCAATATCTTTAAAGGCCAGGGAATAAAGAAACACCATGAGTAAAAGGAAACGTACCATAGATTCATATTATGAGAAGAGTGAAGATCAAAACAGAAATTCTGAAGAGGACAATATTGTCAACAAACCCACATCTGCAACATCAAAAGGGAATATGAACTGGTCTGAAGCCCAAAAAGCCTCCTTAGAAGAGCTCAAGAAGGATTTTAAAAGTCTAATGAGAGAGGTAGAAGAGTCCTTAAAAAATACAATTGGCCAATTGAAAAAAAAGTACACTGAAGAAAATAAATCCCTTAAAAACACAATTGGCCAATTGAAGAAGGAAGTACAAAAACTAACAAAAGAAAACAATCTGTTAAAAACTAGAATTGGACAAATGGAAACTAATGACTCTATGAGAGAGCAAGAATCAGTCAAACAAAAACAAAAAAATGAAAAAAATAGATAGATGAAAACATAAAATACCTCTTAGGTAAAACAACCGACCTGGAAAATCGATCCAGGAGAGACAATTTAAAAATCATTGGACTACCTGAAAGTCAGGATGGAAAAAAGAGTTTGGACAGTATCTTTCAGGAAATCTTAAAGGAAAACTGCCCGGAAGTCCTAGAACCAGAGGGTAAGGTAACCACAGAAAGAATACACCGCTCACCACCTGAAAGAGACCCCAAATTGACAACGCCAAGGAATATAATAACAAAATTCCAAAATTACCAGATGAAAGAGAAGGTGCTGCAAGCAGCCAGAAGGAAACAATTTAAATATTATGGAACCAGTTAAAAGACTGCAGGGCATGGAACATGATATTCCATAAGGCAAAGGAGCTTGGATTGCAGCCAAGGATCAACTACTCTGCAAAAATGAGCATGATTTTTCAAGGGAGGAGATGGATATTCAATGAAATAGGTGACTTCCAAAACTTCCTCATAAAAAGATGAGAGCTCAACAAAAAATTTGATCTTCAAGTATAAGATTCAAGAAAGACATAAAAAGGTAAATGGCACAGAAAGATACAAATTGTTGTTAATAAGGGCAGACTATTTACATCCCTACAAGGGAAGATGGCACTTGCAACTCTTGAGAACTGTATTGTTATTATACCATGTTAAAGGAGTATATATAAAGGGGGGTGGATATTAGTTGACTTTGATGTAATGATAAAAAAAAAATCTAATCAAGTGGGTTAAATGGATCCAAGTAAGTGGATTAATCTGATCTTAGAAAACTACTGAGAAAGAAGGAGGCAGACAAGGGTAAATTACATTGCAGGAAAGACAGAAAATCCTATTACAGCAGAGGGACAGAAGGGGCAGGGTGAGCATTGTTTGAACCTTACTCTCATCAGATTTGGCTCAAGAAGGGAATAATATAGTTGGGTATAGAAATCTAACTTGCCGTATGGACAGTGGGAGGAAAGGGGGGAAAGAAAAAGGAGGAGGGATAGAAGGGAGGGAAGAAGCAGTAAGGGCAAAGGGGAAGAAAAGGGAAAGGGATAATAGAAGGGAGGAGAGGCTGAAGGAGGCGGTGATCAAGAGCAAAACGCTAGTGAGGAGGGAAAAGGAGAAAGGAGAAAGAAAAGCATAAATGCAGGAAAAAGGATGGAGAAAAAGACACAGATAGTAATCATAGCTGTGAAGGTTAAATTGCTTTTTTTTCTCTTCTGTTGAGTTTTGTTTCCTCTTTCTGATGGTTCCTCCTATTGGTTTTAAATTTTACTTACAACTTCACCAATGTGAAAATATATTTAATAGGAATGTAAATGTATAGCCTATATCAGATTGTGCGCCATCTTGGGGGAGGGTGGTGGGGAGGAAGGGAGAGAAAAATTTTAAACTCAAAAAAATATGGAAGTGATTGTTGATAAATCAAAATAAACAAATTAAATAAATAAATATATAAATGAATGAATGAATGAAAAAGAAATATACAAGACAAAACTGAAAAAAAAAAAAGAAATGACACACTGAGAATGGTGAAGGACTTTGAGTCTGCCAGCTGTGGATGGTCTGGATGAGTTAAAGATGGACGAGTAGCCTAAAGAAAGAGCCAAAGGGACGCCCCTGGAGCCATCTTTGAGAACTTAAGGGGCCGTCACAGGGGAAGCCTCTGAGGAGTAGATTTGAGGGTGAAGTTCCAAAGAGGCAAATTTGGGTTTTAAACACAGGAAGCCTTGCTAGCCACTAGAACTATGCAGAACTGGAGCTGGCCATCTCCAGAGGCAGTAGGTCTTCTCTCACAGGACATCCTCAAGAAAGAGGTGGTGAACCATTTGGGCTCTGCTGTGAAGGGGATTCTGATGCAGACACCATAGAGCAGGGGTCCTTAACCTTGGGGCCTTGAGCTTTATTTTTAAATTTTTGGTGGCTGTATTTGGATATAATTAGCTTCCTTTGTAATATTATGCATTTTATTCCATGCAATTAAAACAGCATTCTGAGAAGTGGTCCATGGCTAAAGGGGTCTTCTCAAAGTAATATTCTTAAATAAATAAAATAAAATATATACCCTTACAAAGGAAACCAATTTCTTGTTATCAAAAAATTTTCTTTAAGTTCACAAACCACAGGTTAAGGACTCCTGTATTAAATGTATCAGTTACAAGCTGGATGGAAAGGCCCTGTGGTCCTTAAGGTGCTCCCCCATCCCACCCCCACCCTCCCCTACACCCACCTGTCCAGTCCCATCCTTCCGAGGCAGCTGGGCGGCTCCCCCTGGCTCCCGGCTCCCTGCTGAAGGGCCCTCCTGTGCATGCGCAGACACTGCCAGAGGCCCCTTCCTGCACCTCCCACACCTGTGGCTCTTCTTGTTCCAGCCGGGAGATCAGGTCTGGCTTGGCCTCCAGAAGCCCTGCTCATGGAAAGAAACCACAAAGCTCTGCATGTGCTCCTGGCACAAGGGTCGAGCTGCCCCAGAGTGCCAACCGCGTTAGACTGATGGGCAAGTGGGAGATGCCGGTCCGCGGAAAGCCAATGAAGCAAGACCGTTGTGAGCCAGAAAGGCCCCCTGGAGAGGGCCTGAGAAAATGCTCTACCCTACCCTTCTGCCAAGGTGGGAGACACTGGGTATGAGGCGGGGAATGCTGGGGATGAGGAGGGGGAGCAGGGACATGAGACAGGGATGCCAGGCACAAGGCAGGGGGATTATGGGTAGGGCATTTCATCCTGTCAGATGGGGCCTTGCCATTCTTTAGTTTTGTCCAGCTGTTTTATTTCTCTTTCTTTTTAAATCTGTTACAAGAATGGGTTGCTGGGGCAGGGTGATACCCACCGAGAGGGGCATATTTGGAAATGAATGTGATGTAAAAACATAAGCCATCCATATTTTTTAAGAACAATAAGTGACCATTTTATTTTTCTTGTCTTACAGCTACAGCCAATGATTCTGGAGTAGTCTCCTCCAGAGACCCCACACTTGGTCATAGTTTGGCCATTCTCTGGCTGGTTGACCTTGAGAACAATCACTCTCTCAGCGGTGGTCTCCTCCAGGACAAAATGCAGAGGCCGAAATGGCCGTGCCTAACACCTGTCAGCTGTGTAACTGGCCAGGGAATGACTCCAGTCCCTCTCCTAACTTGGGATGTGCATGGGGATGTGAAGAGAGGGGCAGGCACGCCTCCGGCCTCAGAACAACCTTGGCTGAGCCCCGTGGTGCCTCCTCAGTTCTCAGAGCTGCCTCCCTCAGCGTAGAGTCCACCACCCCACGGAAGGGTCCTTACCCAGCGACACCAGGTGCCTGTAGTTCTCCAGCATGACTTCCCTGTAGAGCTCCTTCTGAGAAGGGCAGAGATAGCCCCACTCCTCCATGTCAAAGTCCACTGCCAGGTCCCTGAAGGTCACTGATTCCTGAAACACCAAGCCCAGTCATACCCCTGGGGGCAGGGAGGGAGCCCTTGGCACTGGGGAAGGAACAGGGCAGACAGGAAGTGCATCTGAAGGTACATATCTGGAGGGACGTGACAGTGTGGCTGGAGCAGAGGGGGAGAGGCAGTCAGGACAGCTGTGCCCCAGGCCAGCAGCTCACTGTGTGAGGCTGAGAAGGCACTCTTCCTGGCCTGGGCCTGTTTCCAAAGTAGAGCAAAGGGCCTCACCCAGGAGTTCTCTAAGGGCCTTTCCTCACTATTTCTGAGTTGGAGGGAAACAGGCCTCGAGAAGGAAAGGTGTCTGTGGTCCAGGAGCTCAGAGGACACTCCTGGGGAGGAAGGAGACCCCGACTCACCTGCACGATGGCCAACACGCCCCTGGATGACACTCCACGCTCCTCTGGGCTCCCCTCCTGGGGAGGTACAAGATTCACAGACCTTATATCTGAGGGATGAGAGAGGAAAAGCTGTGAAGAAAGGGAGGGCGGCTTTTCAGGCCCCATCTCCCATCCCTGTGGCAGGCAGCTTCAGCATCTCCTGGTGTCCGAGACCTGCCATCTGAGGGAAAGTGCCAACTACACTGAACGTTAAGGGGGATGAGCTCCCCGTCGACTTATGGAGCCGCACTGTGCCGGGCACTGGAGAACAAAGCTGCCCATCCCTCAGGGAAAGGGTAATTCTCCTGGGGGGGGGGCAGAGGGGATGCACACAGCTAAATGAGTCACGAGTGTGGGGAAGGCCTTTGCCACACATATGCAAGGACGGAGTATGGCAAGGTTTTGTTGCCTGCTAGGTCCTCCCCTGCTCCCATTAATTTTTCATTGCATGAGACACTGAAGGAGGACTAGGGCTGAAAAACTGGGGAATGAGGGCAAGCCCAAAGAAACCTTGGCAGTTTGTTGGAAGCACGGCCTCCAAACTGATTCTGACTGGCGGCAATTCAACCACTAGGGCTTAAACAGAGATGCAAGGAATTTCTAACCCTAAGTCACAGTGAAGCCCTCAGACAGAGACCTTGTCCTTGGTGAAAAACAGGTTAAGTGACAGGCACTGCTTGGGGGGAGGGGGCTGTGTTTCAGTGATCCTCCAATGTGAGGAGGAGGCCCCAGCCAAAGATCCCTTCCTTTTTCTCTGGGCTGTGCTGCTGACTCAACGCCCCAGGGCTCTCTCCAGCATTCTGCCCCCTCCTCTATGGCTCCCTTTTACACGCTGTCTTTGTTTCTGCTGCTAGATGTGTTCCCAGGGGTCCGCACCATGCCTGGCACCCAGCCAAGAGTTTAACGGAGGCCTGTTGACTAACAACTTGGCTGGAATGGACGTCTCCCACCCAAGAAGATATTCTTGTCCCAGGAGCCAAGTGCTTTGGAACACAGCACAGACCAGAGTTAAGGTAGAAGGAGGAGGGGTGACAGAGACGCTACATGCATGAACCCCAGGTATGTACTGATGCAGATGCCTGGAGAGAAGGAATACCTGCAGAGCCTCCGTGTGAGCAACAAGCCAGGGACCTCCATCAGGCCAGGGGAATGGGGTGGGCAGGGCCTCAAGCCCCAACTCCTCCTCTGCTTCCTGTGATTGTCAACCTCCAAAGAGATGAAGGTCCTCCCCAGACTCCCAGCCTCCTCCCTTCTGCCCTCCCACTCCAACAAGGCATGGCTTCTTCTGACCTCCCGGTCCACCGTGACACCCGACACAGAGGGCTAGCTGGAGCTGTCCTGCCTTCATGGAGCCGATGTTCTAGCAGGGGATGACACCCGGACACAAAGGGCTAGCTGGCATGTGCAGAGATTGGGAGGCTATTGTTTTGTTTTTTAGGAAAGTGCTTCACACATATTAGGTCATTTGGTCTTCACTAGAACCCTGGGAGGTAAATGTACTACCACCCCTCCCCAGGGTCAGCAGTAAGGCAGTATCTGAGGTGGGATCAGAACTCGGGTCTCTGTGACTCCAGTCCAGCCCTGCATCCACAGTGCCACACACAATACCTATACAGAGTAAACGCAAGGCCTTTCAGGCGGGGGATGGGGTCTTTCCTCTCCAGGAGGGGGAGGAGCTGAGGTCTCCCTCTCCACTGCCTGCTCCCACCTTCTTCCCAGTGTCCCCATCACCAGATTCTCTCCCTGACCACCAGCCCTGGGGTGCTTTGCCCTTTTTTCTCAAGGGCACCTCAGTCCTGGCTTAGGGCTTTGTCTCCAACCCTAAGCTGCCTCCTGCATGGAGGCAATTTCTTTTACTCACAATGCCTCACACTCTTGCTCTAAAGATCAAGAAAAACCTCATTTCACTTTGGTGCCTCTCAATCAGGACTCCCCCTCACCCACCGGGCCTCCAAGACCGAAGCGGCATAGAGCCACGAGTCGGCACCACCAGGAGGCCAAAGGCAAAGGAGAGGAAAAGTCCCATAGGACAACTCGGGAACGCCGCGACAGAGGAAGGTGCAGAACTCAGAGAAAGCCGTTTTAGGCCTGCTGGCCTCTGACACATACTGGCTTATGTGACCCTGGGCAAGTCACTCACCTCTCTGGGCATCAGTCACCTCCTCTGTAGAATGGGGACGATAGGCTTGTTGGGAAGCCTTTGGCAGGCCTTGAAGCAGGGAGACGTGCTAGCTAGCTGGCCACTGTGCCCTTCCTAAGGCTCCTCCTGTAACACCGCATTTCCACAGTGCGCAGACAGCGCCTGCCAGAGAGGCTGGGAGCTCCTGCTGGGCCGGGGCTCTTCTGCCTTGGTCACTGAGGCCCTGGCACCCAGCCTACACCCGGGACGCTGTGGCCCCTTAACAAAGGATGCTAGGAAAAGGAAGGAGAGGCAGAGGGGACAAGGGCACACCTCAGACCGTGTGCATGAGATTGGGGTACAGAACAGCAGGGGCCCTGGAGGGGAGGGGGCACTGCCTCCTTTGGGCCTTGGGCTGCCTAGCGGCTCAGAAAAGCCAGACTGGGGGCAGGGGGGCAGCTAGGTGGCACAGTGGATAGAGCTCCAGCCTTGGAATCAGGAGGATTTGAGTTCAAATCCGGCTTCAGACACATAACACTTACTACCTGTGTGACCCTGGGCAAGTCACTTAACCCCACTGCCTAACAAAAACCAAAAAAAAGAAAAGAAAAGAAAAGCCAGACAGGACACTCCCTAGGCGGCCTGGGCTGGTAAAGGCCAGATGAGGAGCTGGGACCAAGGTCCAGTTTTTAAAGAGAGGTCAGGGTTTTACGAAGGGAAAAGCGACTTTCTCAATCACAGCCTTGAACACTCCTTCCTGCGAGCTGGCCACCAACGGGTGGTTATGGAAGGTTTTCAGAGGAAACCGAACTGATAAAAATAAGGAAGGCCCAGAGGGCCCAGATCCCCATAGCTCCAAAGTCCTGCCACCCACCCATCACCCTGGCCACGATGGCAGGCCTGGAAAAGCTCAGCAGAAAGAGGGCAGGACAGGGTAAATGTGCATCATCAGGAAAATCAGGGTCAGAGAAACTGAGGCCCAGAATGAAGGGGCTTGACCAGAGTCCTCCAGGTGGTCAGCATCGGGGGCAGGATCCAACCCCAGGTCCTCAGCCCATACTACTCGCTCCCCTGGGTACCGAGTTAGTCTAACCCCACGACTGGGTTAGACCCCCAGGAAAGGACCAGAGACCGGCCCTTGGTGATGGGCCTTGGAGGAACTGAGGCAGCCTCGAAGAGCCTCCCTGAGGTTGTACCTGGAGTCTGGGATCCAGGCCCACCTTGAAGACTGGAGAGCAAGGCAGGCATCTGTGAAAGAAGAGGGGTGGCCTTGGTGGGCTCAAAGGTTCCTTCCACCTCTGAGTCTGTGTTCCTATTGCTGGGGGATGGGCAGTGTGGCACAGTGAACAGAGCCATCTTCAAAATCGAGAGGACCTGCATTCAGGTCCTGCCACGTGCCGGCTGTACGACCTTGGGTAAGTCTCATAACTTACCAGCTTCTTGCTTGGGGCTGAGTTGCAGAGAAGGTACCGACCTGCTCTGGTAGAGGAAATCACAGGCTTGGGCACTGCCTTAATGTCGCCCTGGCCCCTCTTCCACTCAGGTGACAGTGACTTTCCTAACGCCGGGTCCAACCAAGTCACCCCCTACTCAATAACCTCTGGAGGCTCCCTATTGCCCTGGGATCACACCCCCTACCCCGAGGCCCTTCACGCCCAAGCCGCCCTGCTTCCCCCCCCCCACTGCCCCCCCCAGCCGATGATCCAGCCGGCCCACCTCCTGCTCCTCATGTGGGCCCCCCAACCTGCCTTTTCTCTGGCCCTTCCCACCTCCTCCTCATTTCTGCCTCCTGGCTTCCCAGCTCTCCACAGGTACAGGAAGCCTGTCCTGGTGCCCCTTCCCTCTGAGAGGACCCCAATGCACCCTGGCTATCGCTGGTCCATACTGGACTGGGGGCCTCGAGGGCACAGACTGGTGGGTTTGTCCTCCTCTTTGTATCCAAGCATGAAGTAGGTGCTTAATAAATGGAGGGGGTGGGGGAAGACAGGCACTTTGTGGGACTATTGGAGGTGTCTAGTTTTCTAAATAAAATACTAATCTAAACATGAACGTGGGAAAGCTTGAGGTGGGGCTCGTGCTTTGATTCAGCAGCTCCTCTGCATGGGGTGCCAGGCCACACACTGGGGAAAAAAAGTGAAAAACAGCAGCCAACCGTCAGAGAGCACTGAGAGGTCTGTGGACCCTCAGAGAAGTAAGGGACGGCCTGGGCCAGGGGCAGCTGGGGGGAATCTCAGTCCCACCCGGCCCCTTCAAGCCTGCCAAACCGCCCAGAGGTCAGCACCCCCTTGGAGGCCAGAGAGGTCCACGGGCCCCCTCCCCGTCCTGGTTCTCTCTTTCCCCCTCCTGGTTCTCTCTTTCCCCCTCCTGGTTCTCCCCCTCTCCCTCTTGGTTCTCCTCCTCCCTCTCTGACTGCTCCTCCATCTCCTTGGTGGGGCCTTTACCCAGGGTTCACCACTAACAGCAGCTGTTTCCTTAAGGTCCTGGACCCCCTCCTCTTCTCCCTCCATATGACTTCTCTTGGGGATCTCATTGGCTGCCATAGATTTCATGGCCATCTCTATGCTGAGGGCTTTCAAATCGACTTTCCCTCCTGCTTTCTCTTGGCTGACCTCCAATGTCTCAGACATCTCCAACTGGAAGTCCAGCAGACATCGCAACTCAACGCATCTGAACCAGAGCTCATCTTTCCCCCAGGCCCTCCCTTCTGCCTATCTTTCCTGTTACTACAAAGGGCACCCCCATCCTCCCCATCCCCTGGGCTCCCAACCCAGGGGTCATCCTGGATGCCTTATCCTCTCACCCCCATGTCCAATACGGCGCTAAAGCCCATCGATTTCACCTCGGCACCATCTCTCCAATACGCCCCCTTCTCTCCTCTGCTGCTGCTACCCACCTGGGACAGACCCTCATCGCCTCATGCCTGGACAATGGCCATAGCTGCTGGGGGTC